ATGACAATGGGCTCATGCCAGGCCCCATGTGTCAGTAGACATGTGCTCACATGGGGATTTGCAGGTCTGCTGTGGGTCCCTACCAACAGTTAGTTTTTTGAATGGTCAATAAAAAGCCAGTGGCCAATGGGTGGGCAGGGGGACACAGGCGGGACTTTGAGGACTCCCAGAGAGGAAACACAGGACAGGGAAAGAGAATCGCCAGGGCAGAAGGAAGAAGATACAAAAATGAGAGCTGTGGAAGACAGAGAACCAACCACGTAAGAGTCAGCAAAGAGTGGCCCTAGGGTTCTGGGGTAGCAGAGATAAAGTATAGATTTTAGAAAGTGTTAACTTACGAATGCCGGAGAGGAGTGTGTGTTAGCTGCAGGGAGGCTTGGAAGTGCCTGGCCATTGAGCTAGTTAAGGCATAATAAAATATAAAGTGTGCATGTGTGCGTGTGTGTGTGTGTGTGTGTGTGTCTTTCATGCATGAATCCAGAGCTCTTGGGTAGGTGCAGAGGTACATGTGCACCGCTTGGAGCATGGTATCTAGACACAATGAGCAAGGACATCATTTTGTTTCATAATCACATTTTGTGCCAAAGCCCTGCCATACAGAAAGAAGACGAAGACCAGCAGCCCTGAGATGCCTTTCTGGTCATCCTGCATGCCCTTGTACAAGTCTGGTGCCCATCTATCCAGATGTTTCCTCATTTTTGACAGGATGCTAAAATAGCTTCTGTCAGTTTCAACATCAGTCATTCTGAGATCTGTGCCAACTCATAGCCCTGACTCGAGATAGAATATAAACCACATAAAACCTTCTAATGTCTTTAATATAAAAGCAGTTGCCCGACAGTGGTGATGCACACCTTTAGCCCCAGCAATCAGAAGGCAGAGGCAGGTAGATATGAGTTTGAGTCCACTCTGGTCTACAGAGCTAGTTCCAGAACAGCCAGGATTACACAGAGAACCCCTGTCTCAAGAAAGAGGAGGAAGAGGAGGAGGAGGATGAGGAGGAGGAGGAGGAGGAAGAGGAAGAGGAGGAAGAGGAGGAAGAGGAGGAAGAGAAGGAATAACTACTACTTTACAGGAGAACCCTGGAGAAATGACTCAGTGTGTAAGAGCAAACGCTATACAGCATCAAGGACCTGAGTTTGGTTCTGAGCAACTGCATAAAAAGCTGAGTATGCCCATGTATGCCTCAAGGGTAGAGACAAGAGGGTCAATGGAGTTTACTGGCTACCAGCCCAACTCTAGGTTCACTGAGAAACCCTATCTGGGAGAAATAGGGTATGGGAGAGGAGTAATAGACCAGAGCACCCTGAGTTTCTGTTCTATGTATACATGCACAGGTGTGCATACCTACTACATATGGACCCATGCAACACACACACACACACACACACACACAAGATAAATTATAAAAGATTGATTAATTACATGTAACTTTCATATTTAATCACCTGGTCATGCACTGCTTTGTAATTTATTATGATACTTCTGTGCTGGGCTTGTGGGTGCCAGTTGGCACTCGTACCTTACAGGAAACAGACAAGGGCAGTTTCTTTGCACTAAAGCTAGCTTGGTGTTTCAAACAGCCGTGATGCAATGAGAGACATCAATGGCCACCTCCATATGAGCGGGAACCAGTCAAACTCAGATGAAACTTGCTATTTGTCATATTGAGGGGTTGACTAGAGTCCAGCTTAAGCTAACAGTTAGTTCTGCTTAGATTCATACTTCTGTTGCAATACCCCATCTAAAACATTGTGTCTGTAGTGGTGGGCAGCTAAGACTTAAGGCAGCACTCATCCTGCATTAGGGCACAGCATGCTCTCTGGGAAGTATCCGACTGTTACTCAGCTAACCCTGGGTCCCTTCTCACTACTCTGGATATTAACTGTGCATGCCACAAGACATTTTCTGTCAACATTCATTTTCCATTAACTTCTATTTATATTCCTTTCTCCAAGCTTTCAGCCAGTTCTAAAGAAAGAACTTCAATAATGAACAGCTTGACACGATGGCAGCTATTTAAGATTTTAGGTGCTCACGTCAAGCCTCTGCTGCAGTTTTTAAAAGGCTATGATTTTAAGAGACATTAGAGAAAGGGAAGGCTACAGTGGTGGAATTTGGTCCTTAACTGGTATGAACCAGAGCTTCCATGAACACCCAAACCTGAGAGTAAGGCCAGAGCCTTCAGTCATATCCGTACGAAACGACCAGAGCCTAAATAAGGCTTTCTGACTTGATTCTGAAAGCTAACATCTGCCTGGGGTTCTAATAGATGGGTGTTAGGATGACTATTATCAAAGCAGGGGTGATTCCATGAGTCCTGGTTTAGGCTGTAGTCATTTTTATTTATCTTCTGGCTCCTAACCTCAAGATGATTCTAGAATTACAGATGTAGAAAACCTAGTAGGTTCTCTGAGACCTCCCTGCTAGTGTTCTTGGCTTGTTCCTTGTTGAGAATGAGTGCCTCTTATAAAACCTTTTAAAAAATAACCATTCTAGAAAATATACAAAAAAGGATAATACCCAGTTATCCAGAAGGGAGTGGATCCCTTTTACTGTCTGGGGGAAGCATCAGACTGCATTCCAACAAGCCTCTAGCAATGCTTTTCAAAGCCCTAAAGCTACATACTCTGCTTCTAAAAATGAGGAATCAACTTTTCTGGATTCTCCTTGCTATCCTTGTATGTTTGGCTGATAGGTCATTTAACTGTTTTTCTTAGTATGTGTCTATATTTTTATAGAATTTTATAGAATAATATAGTTTATTATGGCTTATGTTTAATACGCTTTTAAAAATCAGTAAATATAAAATATACCTTGCCCAAAACACCTTTTTATTTAGAAATGTGTAATATGAGATATGGAGACCATCTTCACAAATAAGTTTTCTTTCCTAAAAAAATATTTTAGAAAACTCAATATATGTTAACAGCAGTTTTCCTAATGACTAGAGTTTGCAGAACTCATTTTTAAAAGCCCATACCACGTGCGTGGTTATTACTTGCAATGGTGTGACTCAGCAAAACAGTATTCGGGTATGAATGGTTCTTTCCTGCTCCCACAGACCGTCATGGCCTGTGAGTGTACACTAGTGAGGTGGCTACTGTCCTTCCTCCCAAGGCTGCCTCAGAGCCATTATCTGATGAATCACTTACCCTCCATTTCACAGCAGGACACATATCCAGATCCTAGACCTTGTGGGAGTGCCCTGGGAATAGAAAGATGCCTGTACAGCTTTTTGTTCCAAACCACACACTTTTTCTGGATGTACTCTATGATTTCAAGATGTTTTCTGAAGGGCTCTTGGGGGCTACATCTAAAGCCTTCTGGCCATCGTTTCCTGATTTCTTTTCTTTCTTTTTTTTTTTCTTTTTTAACCTAATTTCATTCCTTCAGTAAGGGAAGGAGCCTTTTAGATAGGGTGTCGGAAGCTTTGAAAGCATCTTCAAGTTGATTCAGAAGGAAGAACTTCCAGAAGGCCTGGGGTAGACTCATGAGAGCCAAGCGCCATTACCACATGCAAGAGAACAGCATTTTAAAAGCATGACTCGAAGGCAGCTAAGCTTTCCTTGCTTCTGCTGGAATATCCTTGCTGTGTGGTAACTGCTTGCTGTGGTGGTCCTGGATATGCCTCAAAAGGCTGTGAGTTGAAGGTCTGGTCATCTGCCTGTGGTGCTGCTGGGAGACAGAACTGTTAGGAGGTGGGAGCCGGCGGAAGGAATTTGGTCAGTAGGGATACGCCCTTGAAGAAGACTGGAAGCCTGCTTCTTCCCCGTCTCTCAGAGCTTCCTGGCTGCAGGAGGTTGCTTCACTGCTTCCTGCCATGATGCTCTGCCTCTCCTTAAGTCCAAAACAAGGGGACCAAGTGACCATGGACTCAACCCTCCAAAACGGTGAGCCAAGATGAACCTTTCTCCTGAACTGCATTTTGTCTCAATAAAGCAAAGTCCATTAAGATACTCCTACTAGAACAATTTTCATGATAATAGCCCCTCTGGATTTCTCTTAGTTTACATGCATATTTGCATGTCCTTGGGTGCATCTGCAGTCTGGTATGTGTGCACATACATGTGGAAGCCAGAAGTTGATGTTTGGTGTCTTTCTCATGTGTGTGTGTGTGTGTGTGTGCCTGTGCCCTGTGAGAAAGGCACTTGCTGCTATGAATGACACCAGAGTTCAAGCCCTAGAACCAACATTATGGAAGGAGAGAACTAAATCTCCTTGTCTTCTGCCCTCTACAGGCATTCTATAGCAAGTGTGCTTTATCAGACATACATACATACATACATACATACATACATACATACATATATACATACGCTCACAGAATGTGAATGTCATTTTTAAAAAGCTTGATTATCCCTACTCTGATCAAACCCAACTTCTAGATTTAATCACACCTATTTGACTACATCAGTCAGTCCCAGAAGAATCTCACTAGGTTCAAGTTACATCTTGTCCAGGTAGGCAGGCTCTACTACACTGCAGCTTAGAACACACACTGGCGTGCACCGCCTAGATGACTATACTGCTTTCCTCATTTTCTGAGGGGAAATATCAAGAATATTATATGAAACACAATTTGCCATGTGTGGATTACTAACAGCTCTCCAAGGAACAAACAACAGGTGGAAAGAATTCCAACGTGTCAATTCTATTGACCCTGAAGCTCTGAGGTGAACTTGCCCCACCTTCTCGAACCCTAAATTTAGTGGGGAGCTGTATACCCTCCAGCCTCCTGTTTAATTTTACTTTTTGTTTGTTTTTATTTATTCAAGACAGGGTTTCCTTGTGTAGCTCTGGCTGAGCTGGAACTTACAGAGATCTGCCTGCCTCTGCCTCCCAAGTGCTGGGATTCATAAAGGTGTGTGCCTCCACCACCTGGCAGATTTCAGTATGTTTTTATAAGTGTTCCTCATAATCTTGATGTATGCTAAAATGTGGGAACCTCTCCAATGCAACAGATGTGAAAGAACCCAGAAAGCAGAGATGGGCAAGACTAGAATTTGAGGGTTTTTCTTTTTACCCACTTTTTAAAATATATTTTTATTTATTCTTGAAGACTTTCATACATGTATACAATGTCTTTTGGTAGTACCAATGGGCAAACAGGACTTTCAAAAGGTCAGCAGAGAAAGTCTGTAAGCACCTTCACTTCATTGCTCCTTCCTCCGTCTGTCACTTAAGCTGCCTGCATCAGCCTGCTGATACTCTCTTCTACCTCTGACAGCGTCTTCAGGATTTGCTTGACCTTAACTTCATCAAATTCCAGACACAGAAATTCAGATTCCTGTAAAACACAAAAGGATGTTTCAGAAGAAACCTGTAAGACAGATGTAGTGGTTTGAATGAAAATGGCCCACAGGCATATCCATTTGCCTCCGTTTGCATCAGGTGATGAACAGTGGTGTGGGAAGGATTAGGAGTGGCCCTGTGGGTGGAGGTGTGTCACTGGGAATGAGCATTGAGGTTTCAAAAGCCCACACCAAGGCCAAGACCAACCCCCCAACCCCGTGCCTGTTGATCAGGATATAAAACTCTCAGCTACTGCTCCAGCACCATGCCTGCCTGCTTCCTGCCATGATGATCATGGTCTAACCCTCTAAAACTGTAATTAAGCCCCAAAATTAAATGCTTGTTTTTATAAGTTGCCTTGGCAATGGTGTCTCCTCACAGTGACAGAACAGTGACTAAGACTCTAGCCGAGGTTCTTCATCTGGCATGAGCAAGCTGTAGAGGCCCAGGGCCCCAGCACAGCAAACCAGACTGCAGGCCTTCAAGCCTATGTGATGTTTTACCATACAAAGCATATCCACAGAGTGTCCACAATGAAACACAAGTGTACAGAGACAGATGCCCTTGTTCTCATTATGAGAGGCTCTTTGTTTGGTGGCTCAGTTGACATGGTACGAATGTAAGGTAGGTACTTAGGCATTGCTACCCCATGGATGAGAACTCTGAGGGCAGGAAGGGCTAACTTCCATCTAAAAATATTTTAAGTGACACAAGTCAGATATTGAATTCACTCTGGCTGGCTTCAAAGTCAGTGCTGTCCCCACCTTATATAATAATAAAAGAACTGTGATTTGTCCCTAGTTAGCCTGGGCCAACTGCAACTCTGGCTAAAAAGAAATTGTGATATGTTCACTGAGAAGTCTTAGCTAGAAAACTAAAAAGGGTGACCAGATTTTGAAATAGTAACAGATATTTGTCAGGTTCTTCTCCATGAGGTAACATCCCTCACAAGATCTCCCTCCAGTACAGTCCCTTCAGTCACTCAGGATTGGTGAGCCAATCTAGATAGTATAAAAAAATGAGGTCTTTGAAATGGGTGGCAGAAATCTCACATGGTAACCCTAACTCCACATGGCCTTGAACAAGAAGGACAAATGATAGGTATCCAGGAGTATCAGCCTTTCCTACCTCATGAACAGTAACTTTAGACCAGTATAAATGCTTACAGGTTATACAATCCAATAGTCTTGCTTTCTAGAATATGAAATTAAGGTTCTAGGTATGTCAAGGGACATGCCTAATGGCCTATTGTCTGTTCTGTTATGAGCAGAATCACGGGATTAATACTCATTTTAAAAAAAAGACTTTACTTATTTTATATATATGATGAGTACACTGTGGATTAATACTCCTATCTGTACATTTTCCTCTCCAAACATTAAAAGGGATCAAAACATCCTCCCCCAGAGTCTTCTCTGACAAATGGATTGTTCTGAATTGAAGGTAACTGAGAATCATCGGATCTCTTGTTGGAGCTTCTTCTATCTGATTAAAGCAAGAAACTTCTGAGAAATGAGAACCGTGGGAGAAGATAAAAAGCTGGCACAAAGTACAGGAGCTCAGTGACTGACCCGCGCCTACAGCTGTTCTTCCTGTCACTAACTGCTCCTAGGAGCCTCATTCATTAGCCTTTCATTAAAAAGAGTATGAATTTTCCAAGTCTGTGAGTTTTCAGTTTTCAGGTTTTTGTTTTGGCGCGCGCGCGCGTGTGTGTGTGTGTGTGTGTGTGTGTGTGTGTGTGTGTGTGTGTGTGTACATGAACGCACACATGTACATACACATGTGGAAGTCAGAGGTCAGCCTCTGCAGTTGGTCCTCAGACATTCACCTTGGCTTTTGAGACAGAAATCTCTTGGTGGCCAGCAGCTCACCCTGCTGGCTGAGGGTGGGCGGGGCCGGCCATCTGTCTCTGCAGCACTATGGTCACAAGCTCCAGCTACCACCCTTGGCTTTCTCAGGTGGGTTCTTTGGATTGAACTCAAGTCTTCCCATGCACTTTGCTGACTAAACCATCCCCTAATCCCATAACTCTGACTTTTTTTGTTTTTTTTTTCAGACAGGGTTTCACTGTGACACTCTGTCTTGTCTAGAACTTGTTATATAAACCAGGCTGAACTCAAACTAACAGAGATCTGAGTGCCTCTGCCTCCTGAATGATGGATAAAAGGTGTGCACCTCCACATCTGGCCTTTAAATTGATTCTTAACTGATATTGAAAACATTAAAAAGTTTATATTTATAGAGTACCATGGGATATTTGAAACTTGCATAGACTGCGTAATGCTTAAATCAAGTCAAACATATCTTTCTCTCTCTCTCTCTTTTTTTTTTTTTTTGGTTTTTCCAGATAGGTTTCTCTGTGCAGTCCTGACTGTCCTGGAACTCACTCTGTAGACCAGGCTGGCCTCGAACTCAGAAATCTTCCTGCCTCTGCCTCCCAAGTGCTGGGATTAAAGGCATGCGCCACCACTGCCTGGCCTATCTTTCTCATTTTTAAATGGTGAAAACACAGTTCTTTCTTTCAGCCTTTGGAAATATGAAGTATATTGTCTATAGACATTCAATTGTGGAACACCTCACCTCTACCTATAACTTGGGACCCATGGATCAAACTCTCCATCGCCTCCTTTCTTCTGTCCTCTCCAGCCTCTGGGTCACCGACAGCATCCGGCTCTCACCTTCTGTGAAATCAGCTGGGTGCTAAGGACCGAATCCAGGGCCTTAAGCAAGCTAAGCATGAGTTCTACCACTGACTTTCAGAGCCAGTGAGATGGACTTGTATGTGTGCGCACGTGCACGTGCACATGCCACGTCACACATGTGGACGTCAGAGAACAACCTCTCCTGTCAGTCCTCACCTTCCATCATTTAAAATAGGTTTTACATATTTGGGAGGGGGCAGGGCAATGCTATACCACGTATGTGGACATCAGGGGACAGTTAGCCAGAGCTTCTGCTTTTCTTTTTATTTATTTTGTATCTGTCTTTCTATCGTCTGGTCTTGGCCTCACACTCAAGTCATGAGGCTTGGAGCCATCTCCACAGACTGAGCATTAGTAGCTACCAGGAACTGAACCTAAGGCCTTAGAGCCCATGCCCTCCATCTTGTTTTGAGATAGGGTCTCTTTGTTGTTTTTCTGACTGTGTATGCCAGGCTAGCTGGCCTGCAAGCTTCCAGGGATTCTTCTGTGTTTCCTAGGGATGCTGAGGGTACAGATGTTCACATTACATGTCTGGCTTTTATGTAGGCTCTGAAGATTTAAACTCTGGTCCTCATACTTGCACAGCATGCACTTTTACTCACTGAACCATTTCCCTAGCCTGAAATGAATGTTTTGTTTTGAGACACAGGATTTCTTCTCTGTGTAGCACTGGCTGACCTGAAACTCACTCTATAGACCAGGCTGGCCCTGAACTCACAGATCTTCCTGCCTCTGCCTCCTGAGCACTGGGCTCAAAGGTGTGTGCCACACACCTGGCTGAGATGGACATTTTTGTATAGGAGTTCTGAGTGTCAGGCAGGACTTTTCTTCCAGTGCCTGACTTGTTCTACTTAATTAACATTATGTACCTCAGGCCATGCAGAGATGCTGCAGAGATGGACCATGCTGCAGAGATGGACCATGCTGCAGAGATGGGTCTTTGCCCTTTTTTATCTTTATGGCTGACGCACAGTCCATGATGATGTGTCTCTCCCTCTGCTACTCATCTGTCAACAAGTACTTAGGTTGTTTCCATGCTTGGCTATTGTGAATAATACTGCAGTAAATACAGTAGCACAGATGTCTCTTTGACACACTGATGTAATTCCTTTGGATCATATGGTAGAGCTACTTACTTTTAAGTAAGTACATCAAAAATAGTCATTTTGAGGTGCAGAATGGGCTTAAATATGGCACAATTTAGTTAATAACAATATCCAGTGATAAGAGGTCTTGGTCTTATCAAGGGTCTGGTGTTTGTGGATGATATGATAATGTCAACAATCTCATACTTAATTCTTAGTTTCCTGAACATACTATGCAAATAAGAATTTCTAGTAGCTAAACCAAAAATAAGTAAAAAAAAAAAAAAAAACAAAAAACTCAAAACACACATATACACACAGTAACTGGCCAAGTGCTACCACATTCTTACTGACCTTTATTTTGAAACATTATTTAACCTGTGAGGACTGCCAGAATAAAAGCTGCCAGGAAGATGAGGAAATGGCACAAAAGAGTTCTCTATCCCCACTCCTAGATCTTGTTAATGCCTTGCATGCATGTTGTATCTCTAAGTCTAGACTCATGTTCTTGCATGCCATTCTCTGAGAGAAAATGTGAGTCTGAGGGAAGGAGAGGGAGGTCAGACGGGCTTACTAGCTCTGCCTGTGGCAAGCTTTTGGAGGCAATGGGTAGAAGGTGGGCAGATGGGGGCGTGGCCGAACACCCAGGATTTTATAGTCCCACAGAGAGGAAATGGTATCTCTGTTTTGAGGGTGTGTTCTGACATCAGCTGGTCCTGGGCCTTTGTTCAAATACAATGGTCAGCTCTCACATTAATGTGGTGCTTTATAGACTGGAAACTCTTTCACATGCATGATCTCATTTGACCCTTTAACAGTCCCTGGTAACTGGGAAGAGACAAAGCCAGAAGTAAGCTACTCTGAACAATTGTAGAATTAGCAGAATTTCCCCCTCTAACCCAAAGCAGATGGTTTGAGCTAAAGTTAGCAAACTTTGTCAGAAAATGCAATGGATTTTATGAGCTTTGATATATCATAATCCCACTGATAGAAAATTAAGATTTTGTTTACTTAAAATTGTCTACAATTCCACAAGCTGGAGTTTCAAAGTTCAGGCCTGTGTAAAAGACAGGCAAAGGTAGCCAGCTCCTAACGGGGGAAGAACTAAGATTCTTTAGTTTAGTTTAGTGGTCACCATATTCATGTAGTCAACACTGAAAGTTCTGGAAGTGGAGGTAAGAGAACAGTGACTGCGTGTGGGGCACCAG